ATAATTTTTTTCCTTCAGCTACCCTAATACTGACAAAGTTCTCATGAATTACAAATATCATCTTTCCATGCAGGAATGTAAACAGTTCACTCTTAATAAGTCTTTTATGATTTCTCTTTCCTGTTTACCTCTTCATGTTCCACTTGAGTCCTGTATTTGAAAGTCAAATTTTCTATTCAGCTCTGGTCTTTTCATCAAGAATGCTTGAAAGTCCTCTATTTCACTGAATGACCATTTTTTCCCCTGAAGGATTATACTCAGTTTTGCTGGGTAGGTGATTCTTGGTTGTAATCCTATCTCCTTTGCCCTCCGGAATATTATATTCCATGCCCTGCGTCCTTTAATGTAGAAGCTGCTAAATCTTGTGTTATCCTGATTGTGTTTCCACAGTACTTGAATTGTTTCCTTCTGGCAGCTTGTAATATTTTCTCCTTGACCTGGGAACTCTGGAATTTGGCTACAATATTCCTAGGAGTTTTTGTTGGGGGGGATCTCTTTCAGGAGGAGATCTGTGGATTCTTTCAATTTCTATTTTGCCCTCTGGTTCTAATATATCAGGGCAGTTTTCCTTGATAATTTCTTGAAAGATGATGTCTAGGCTCTTTTTTTGATCATGGCTTTCAGATAGTCCAATAATTTTTAAATTCTCTCTCCTGGATCTATTTTCCAGGTCAGTTGTTTTTCCAATGAGATATTTCACATTGTTTTCTAATTTTTCATTCTTTTGGATTTGTTTTACAGTGTCTTGATTTCTCATAAAGTCACTGTCTTCCAATTGCTCTATTCTAATTTTTAAGGAAGTATTTTCTTCAGTAATCTTTTGGACTTCCTTTTCCATTTGGCCAATTTTTCTTTTTAGGGCATTTTTCTCCTCATTGGCTTTTTGGACCTCTTTTGCCATTTGGGTTAGGCTGTTTTTTAAGGTGTTATTCAGTATTTTTTTGGGTCTCCTTTAGCAAGCTGTTGACTTGTTTTTCATGATTTTCTTGCATCACTCTCATTTCTCTTCCCAGTTTTTCCTCTACTTCCCTTACTTGCTTCTCAAAATCCCTTTTGAGCTCTTCCAAGGCCTGGGACTGATTCATATTTTTCTGGAGGCTTTGGATGTAGGAGCTTTGACTTTGTTGTCTTCTTCTGGTTGTATATTTTGATCTTCTTTTTCACCAAAGTAAGATAATATAGTCTGACTCTTTTTGCGCTGCTTGCTCATGATCCTGGCCAATTACTTGAGTTTTAAACTCTTTGTTGAGGTAAGAGTCTTGCTTCCAGTGTGGAGAATGTACTGTCTCAAGCTTCAGGAGTTTGTGTAGCTGTTTTCAGAGATACTTGTAGGGACCTGTAAATTTTCAGTTCTTCCAAGGTGGTATAAAGGGTGAGGTGTTTACTCCTTTCCTGGCCTGTGACAACAAGTACTCCTTTCTGTCCCGTAACTCTGAGGAGGGTCTCCTCTCTACAGCCACTACAAGCTCCACCAAGCCAGCGTTCCTCCTCACCCCAGCAACGCAGCCCAGAACTGTGACCCAGATCCACACACGGGCAAAGCAAGAGATTCCTGCAATCCCTCTCTGATCAGCTACTGGATTCCCCCTCAGTCTGTGGGCCTGAAGCTTGGGAAGCAGCTCCGCCCCCCCCCCCGCCATGCTCTTGGGGAATGGATCTGAAACCCCACCTTCCTCTCTGACCACCGACAGAAACAGACTTTTCCCACTGACCTTCTAAGTTGTCTTTGGCATTCGTGGATTGAGGCATCTGGAAACCTCCACAGCTGCCCGAGATTCAGTCCTCTGAGGCCTGCTCCAGGTTTGCTGCGGCCTGTGCACCCACGCTGTGCTCCCAGCCCAGCGCAGTACACCTTTCTGATCAATCATCCAGGTTGTCTTGGGCTGGAAATTTGTTTCACTCTGTCTTTTTGTGGGTTCTGCTGCTTCAGAATTTGTTTAGAGCCATTTTTTATGAGTATTTGGAGGGGTTTGAGGGGAGAGCTCAAGCAAGTCACTGCTTTCACTCTGCCATCTTGGCTCCGCCCCCCAATCTTTTTCATTTTTCAAAAAATTTTAAAATAAGTTTTATGATGTCATTTTTTTCTATCACCATGATTTCCTCCCAGTATCCTATCATTCCCTAAGAGCCATCCTAAATAACAATAATATTTTTAAATACAAAAAAAGAAAAAATCTGTATAACGGATCAAGATATTTAAAAAGTCTGAAAATACTTGCAGTCTGCCACACTCATAGATCTTGACCACCTCTGCATGCATGTGGTTAGGAGTGTCTTCTCATATTTTTTTCCTTTGGAGTTATGTTTGTTCTTCCTTATTTTGCCACATTCACTTTTAATGTTTTAGTGATAGTTTTTTCTGTTTATATTGTGATAGTTATCGTGTATATTGTTTTCTTGGCTATATTTGCTTAAGTTTGCATCAGTTCAATGTAGATCTTTCCATACTTCTCTGTTATTCGCATTCATCATTTCTTACAGTATTATATCCATGTACCAAAATTTGTTTAGCCATTCCCCAATCAGTGAGTATCTACTTTGTTTCCAGTTCTTTGCTGTCACAAAAAGTACTGCTTTACATGTTTTGGTGTATATGGGGGCTCATTTTCAGTGGGCTGTTCTGGTCTAAACCTAGTAGTAGAATCTCAGGGTCAAAGCATATAGACATTTTTGTCACTTTATTTGAATAATTCCGTATTATTCTCCTCAATGTTTGTGCTGATTTAAAGTTCTACTAACAATGCACTACTGTACCTATCTTCCCACAACCCCTCCAGCATTGACTATTGCTATCTTTTCTCATCTTTGCCAATTTCCAAGGTGTGTCATCCTTCAGTTTTCATCAAGTATCCTTGGGATGACTTTGCTTAGTTGAAGTTCCCAAGTTTCTTTAGACCAGTTTTAGCCTTCACTACTTCTTTTTGCTTTATAATATAATACTGCTCATATTCATCTATGGTACTTTTGGGTAAGATTTTATAGACTGGTTCACATTATAACCCCATGTTGCCTTTGGACGTCGTCTTTCTTAACTTGGTGGAAAGGTAGATGTTTGAGCTTTCTGGGCTCTTTTGGTCTCCATGTGGCAGTTAATTAAAGGACAACTGATATGGCAACCCACGTTCTTCATTTAGTATTCATGCAACATTAACAAAACTAGAGGAAAGACAATGGGTATTCTCTAGAGGATTTACAGGATTGGGATGTAAGTCACTTAGGGTTGAGAAGACATACATGGATGGGTTCATTTGTTGGAGGGAGTACTCCATGTCACTGAGATCACAAATCTATTGAAATACTGAAGAAAATTACACCTGTAAACATTGTAGGACAAAAGTGATGAAGCATGAATCACATTTCTTTGGTGCTTTTTAATTTACAAAGCATTTTCTTCAAGCCTTTCCTTTTATAGAGGTAGGATAAGTATGACTTCCATTTTGTAAATTCGGAAACCAAAGGCTCAAAGAGATGAACTGATCTGTGATGCTTTACAAGTTCTGCTTTGTCTTTTCCTGGTTTGGGAATCTGGCCCATATTTGTCTTGTAGAGTGAATATTTTCTCTCTTAAAAAAAATGTTTTATGGCATTGGAATTACTTGATTTTTGAATGTGTGATATAATCCATCTAGTCCCAGTAGTTGGTTTTTTTTTATTTTAATAATGGTAAACTCATTAATAGCCTGTTCAGTTTTTCTGATATTGAGTTATTTTATTTCTTTCCATGCTCTGCTCTCAGGCCACTTTTTCCAGACCCACCTCATATTCCTCGTTCCCATTCCCCACCCTAGGATTTCTCACCCACCATGCATATTCCATACACTGTCTCTTCCTTTGCATCAGTCACTCCCCACCTTATGGGGTACTCTATCTTTGTTCAGGACTTATTACTCCTTGTAGAATATAATAAGCTTTTAAACGGAGGGAGCTGATAACCTCTTGGTCTCAGCATTCCCATTGCTCATATTATTCTTTGAGTTTCATGCACTTCAGTGTTTCTTTGGAGCCATGCTTTTTTAAATGGTAGGTAAAAGATAGGTGGTATAAAGTAGTATTAAAATGTTAAAGGGAGCATTTGATTTTCCACACTAGTGAGTTTTTTGGGGATAGACCATCATATTTCCTCTAGGGCTTGCACATAAGAAGGTGTTTAATAGATTTAACCATGTATTTATTAATGCAGACTGTGCATTAATAGGCACTGAAGGAGGTACAAAGGTAAGACACCTCAGGGAGCATAGTAGTCTAGTACTTGGTCAAGAAAGGTACAATTGGGGGACACCTAGGTGGTGCAGTGGATAAAGCATTGGCCCTGGAGTCAGGAGGACCTGAGTTCAATTTCGGCTTCAGACCAAACACTTGACACTTATTAGCTGTGTGACCCTGGGCAAGTCACTTAACCCCAATTGCCTTTAAAAAAGAAAGAAAGAAAGAAAGAAAGAAAGAAAGAAAGAAAGAAAGAAAGAAAGAAAGAAAGATGCAACTATGGAATTGCAAAGTGTGTTAAAGAATTGCAGAATAGGTACTGTATGAAATCTTCAGGGTAGGAAGAGCTTTATTGACCACTTCAATCAAAGAAGGCTTCGTGGGAGTGCTAGTTTTTAGTTGGACTTTAAAGGATCGTTAAGATGAAAATAACCCGCGCATGTAGAGAATTAGCTCACTAATGTTTGAATTAGTGGGGAAAAAAATTGCAACAGTTTAACCTCAGACGCACTTACTAGCTGTGTGACTTTGGGCAAGTCACTTAACCCTGATAGCCTTGCCAAAAAGCCAAAAAAAAAAAAAGAGAAAGAGAACATAATCAGGGGTAAAAGTTTTACTGAGGAAAATGTATTAAAATAAAATATGGCAGAATTTTAGAAGGCAGGGACCATTCCTTTAATTGTCTTTCAAGCCTATGGACTGCTTTGCAATAACTTAAATATCAGTTGACTATTGTAACTTGACAGTTGTACTTCAAGTTGGTGTTTACCTTGTTTATTTTTCTTTGTCTTTCCCAGGCTGCTGACTTGAGTAAACCGATAGATAAAAGGATATACAAAGGAACACAGCCTACATGTCATGACTTCAACCACCTAACAGCCACAGCAGAAAGTGTCTCTCTACTGGTGGGCTTTTCTGCAGGCCAAGTCCAACTCATAGATCCAATCAAAAAAGAAACTAGCAAATTATTTAATGAGGAAGTAAGTAGTACTCTCTGCTTTGGTTTTTAAGAACACCTTTAAAGAGCTTGTTCCCTTTTTTCAAGGGGCACCTCTTTGCACTTCTTTGTGAGCTGATTTTTATTTACCATAGAAATGCCAAAATTTGTGTTTTAAATTACCTTTAAATTTAAAATTGCCTATTTCTTGATTAGTGGTATTTTATTTGCTTTTATTATATACACTTACAGGTCTCTTGTTTCAAGAGAAAAAAGTGAATATTCATTAACCAGATATTCAAAATTATTTTACTGTAGAAAATAATTGCTTAGAATATTGAAAGTTGGAATTATACTGTTGGAAATTTTTATGGAAAAGTTTAATTGAGGACTTTTGCCTTAAGCCATTTAAATGCTTTACTTTTTTGTGTGTCTTGTACTGGCATTATCTGGCCCGAAGGCCTACTCCTGGAAACACTGTTCACATACTGCTTTTGGCAAGGTTAGAAATTCTGGCAGTTTTAATGGGATCACATGACAGAGCTATTACTTATATTGTGACAATATTTTAAATTTTATTTTGAAAGAAATTTGATGTGCTTGTGCAGTCAATCCAGAAACATGTCTTAGGGTTCATGAATATAGTAGGTTAAAATTAGCAACCAGATTTACTAATAATAATCGACAAATTTGGTGGAATCTTGCCTTACCCCATTAGAAAAAGATTGTACCTCAGATAGGGACTGGACTGGGTGATCTCAAATTTCTGTCCAATTCTAAGGTTCTATCAAATAGCATAGTTATATATATTTTAACTATTTGACTTTCTTTGCCCTTATCACCTGGTTTTACTGTCAAATGAAAAAGTAAGATAAACTTGAGTGATAGAAAAACCAGGAACCTCATGTTTTCCGTTTTCTTTTTCTGACACTTGTAAGGTGTGCACTGAGGAAGTCACTTAATTTCATCATGTTTCACATTGCTTCTCTGTGGGAATAAAAGGAGAGATAGTGATAATATATTTGCTTTGTAGATATATAATTTAGACTCCTTGGAAGAAAAGCACATTATCAGTTAAGCTTTTAAAAAATCCTTGTATATTTAATATGTGCAAAATATGTTGATACACATATAAATTTTGTTGCCCATAATATGTATATTCAAGTTCCAAAAAAGTGAAACATGCATGTATGTGTACATGTATTTTAGGGAAGATAGCTTTCTTGTTTAGAAAAAAATTCAAATAAAAATATCCCTGTCCTGAAATTATTTTTCCTGCAGTTTTTGTGGTATATGGTATTCAGCAATATTGCAGTTCGTTAATAAGCAATAAAGGACAATTTTTAGATGTATTTGTTTTTTGTAAAATGACTTGGCCCAACAGAAGTAAGAAAGTTTCATTGCTTGGGAAGAAAACATTGAATTAATACAGAAACTCTTAATCTTTCTGGAATTCACATGTAGACATGTGAAATTTGGAGGCATTACAGGCAGCATTTTGTTATGAAAGCAACCCAGAGTTGTAGCAGATTGTTTTGTATTTTGAGTGAGTTGTAATTTGGTGAAGGGAAAGGACAGTGTTCATAAAGGTAGAGTCAGTAAGGGCAATAGTGAATAAAAAGAACCTGTAAAACTTTTTTGAAAAATCTTATCTGGTGGTTGCTTCCTCAGTGGATTAAACAATGTACCCCTTACAAAGGCAGAAAATAAAAGATTGGTGTCGTTGGGGATGCGAGACAGGGAGGTTTGAAGGGCAAAGAGATTAGACGAGTCTTGGTACGGTGACATGTCCTTAAAGGTTCATCAGTAGCTAATGATCGAGTAGGCTCTTGCCTAGAGTGAAGTTGTTACTAAAGATTGTCTTTCAGTTTATGCATGTGATTTTAAAAATGTATTATTTGTTCACATTTTATTTCACAAAGGACTTATAGGAAGTGGACCTATGATTTTATTGATGTAGGAAAAATTCTGGATGAAGACTTCAAATGATGTGTTCAGATCGGGATCAGGAAACTTCATCTGCCAGATTAGTTCTGTACTTTCTCTGCAATTTATAGTTTTAGAGAATTGCCTATAATGCTGAGAGATGAGGTGATTTTCCAAGTCTTGCTCCAAGACTAGTATTTGTCACTTACTGCCATTACTTAAGATGTAACTTTTCAAAATTCCAGGTTTCTCCCTATAACTTAATGCCACTTTGACTGGCATAACATTTAAGATAAAAATTTGTGGCCCTCAAAAATAAAAAAAATTCTTTGGACTTCAAGGAATATTTCATTTAGCTTTTTTGACTATGAGTTTTAAGAGTCAGCAAAGTGTTTTAAGAATGCTAAGAAAAATCCTTTGAATTTCATATCATAAATTTTTAGAGCTAGAAGGGACTTTAGAGGTCATTTAATCCAGTCCCCTCAGAGAGGGGAAAAATGACTGACCCGAGATCACTACCCAGGTAGTAAGTGGCAGAACCATGATTCAAACCCAGGTCCTGTGAGTCCCAAGTCCAAGAGTTTCTGTTTTTTCAAAGCGCTTTCAAGTATACTTTATTTAATCCTCACAGGAATCTTATAAGGTTGATAAAAAAATATATATGCACATTATACAAAAGACGAAATTGATCTGGGGGTGAGGGAATAAGTCTTTAATCTAGAGCTGTCTAACCCAGAAGGATATAAAAAGCAGTGCAGAAAATGGATTGTCTTGCTGGAAGAGCAGAGCTTAGTTTGAGTTTTACCAATTTATTAGTTCTACTCCTGCCTTCTTACCATATTCACTCTGTACCTTGCCTAACTTAAACCTGTTGCACTTGCCTGCTTTTCTCTTCCCTAACAGGAATCCCTGACTAAACCTCTTATTTGCCTAGTTGCCTATTAGACCCCGTCTGGCAAACTAAGTCCTGACTTACTCTGGCTGACTAGGTCCTGTTATATCCTAAAGCACCAACAGAGTTCTTTATTTTCCTTACATGAAAATCTCTTGCCACTCCCCTAGCTTTCACTAACATTTTAGAACAAGCATATTTATACAGTCTTTATAGGGAAGGATTTTGAGCAGAGGTGAATAAGTTATTTTACCCATAGACAGCTAACATGAAACCAGTTGTTACATTGGCCCATGTTCCCCATTTATAGCCAGTAGATGTCAGCCTTAGGTTGAACATCACACCAGACACCATTCTTTTCAATTAGTGGGGCTGAGCTACAAGGTTTTGAAACTTGCCCACAATTTGAGTTACAAAGCCAACAACCCAACCCAAGCACAATTTTAAACTTAGTATCAAGAATTAGCCACAGTACAGGTCATACAGTCTTTGATCAGGGAAACTTTTAGGTTCCCTTGTGTATGTGTAAATTTCAGAAATCCATTCAGGAACTTATATGTTGACATAAGATACATCTTTTCAAGAAAAATTTTTCCTCCAAAGTCGATTCAGACGAATACCATTTAAAAAAAAAAAGAACTAAGTTGTTGTCATTGATCATCACCTCATCAGTCATCATCATAATTAAATTACAGATTTTTCGGTTTTTAACTGATGCCAAACCAAAGGAAACTTTTAAGTACTTGAACCTTTCCAGACACAAATGATTGCGATCTGTTTTGAGTATTTTGAGAATACATGAGAAAATAGTGTGGTATAATAGAGAGAGCTGTCTTCAAAATGTGGAACGCCTGTATTCAATTCTTATTTGCTGTGTACTAGTTCTATGACCCTGGGCAAGTCGCTTAATTTCTCTCATTATAAACTACAGAGCAGGTACTAATTGGAATTAGTAGAGGGAGTTTCTTCGCTGTGATTTCCCCATACCAATGAAGTCACAGGCACAATTCAAAAAAACACCTAGTTTCTATCTATATTATTAAATCATCAACCTCTGGAAAAATATCTATTCAACTTATTGGGACAGCACACTACATTCTTTCTGTAATGGAATTTAGATTCCTACCTCTGAAAAAGGAAGTGACAATCTTTGCCCAAGTATTACTATGTATTATATCCTTGAAAGTGATTAAATGAACTTTATGTAATATAAAGAATGTTTTTGTATACAGTTTGTAAACACTTTATGGATAAACTGTGGAATGTAATTCCTTAAAAAGATTACCTTTGAGGGGCAGCAATTTGTTGTATGTATTCATACATTTATAACTCCTTTTTAAGGGGTTAAATATTTAGCCTTTTATAACTTTATTCTGAGGTAAAAGCTATAATTAAAAAAAAACCCAATACAATTGCTAAAATCTCAAGCAACTGACTTGGTAACTATAATATTTTGTAGTAACTTAAATATAATTTTAATTATTAATATATAGTTATTGTATTCTCTCATAGTTATTATATTATTTTATGGTAACATTTTTAAAAAGTTTTTACTGAAGCTTTTTTGTGTTTTATACCTATCATTTCTGGATAAACTTCCTCTACCCATGAAAGATCACTTCTTTTAACAACCAAAAAAAAATTCTAATATATTTCTCAGCTTAGATTTATAGTATAAAAATTAGCATAGGAAAGAGAAAACTGCCACATTAGCATGTAAATTAATAATTAAAAGATAGTTGAATAATATTGTGATCTATTGGGGAAAAAACAGATTTAAATATTTCCCCTCCTCTCCAGTCATACAGAAATCATTCTAACTTATGGTAGCTTCCTAATTGGTCTCCCTGTCTCTAGTCTCTTTTCCTCTCCAATCCATTCTCTGCATAGCTGCCGAAATAGTCTTTCTTAGGCACAGGTCTGATTTATTTCACTTCCTTGCTCAAAAGCTTTGAGAGGCTTCCTGTTGCTGATAGGATCAGGTATAGATTTCCTTAACTTGACACTGACGACTTTTGATAATCTGATGTCTACCTACCTTTCTAGCCTTTTCCTATTCTTATCCTTTATGAATTCTAATGTTCTAGCCTCTCTGCATTCCTTCTCCCAGTTGAATATATTCACACTAGCTTTTCCTCCCATGCCTGGAATACACGACCTTTCACCTCTGTCTTTCAGAATTATTCTTTCTTTTATATCTCAGCCCAGATGCCACATATCTTCAGCACTTGCTTGATTTTCCCTTCCTCCTCTCTCATTGCCAGGATACTTTTCCTTCTCAAGTTCTTGTTTTATATACTTTTCTTTGCATGTGCTGTCCCAACCTACCCCCTAGAATATAAACTCCTTTAAGCCAGTGGTCCTTGTATATTCCCAGCATCTCATATAGTGCTTTGAGCATGGTTAAGTATGCACATAGTAAGGAAGCAGCTGCTGGCACAGTGGATAGAGTACTGGACTTGGAATCAGGAAGACCTGAAGCACTTACTAGTTGTGTGACCCTGGGCAAGTTCCTTAATCTCTGTTTGCCTTAGTTTCTTCAACTGTAAAATGGGAATAGATAATAATTGCACCTACCTCTTAGGGTTGTTGTGAGGATCAAATAAGATATTTGTAAAAAGCACTTAAAACAATGCCTGGCACATAATAAGTGCTATGTAAATGCTAATTTCCTTGCCTTTCCTTTTCCTCTTCCTTTCACGAAATTAAGTTGAATTTTATACCTTTAGTAATTACTGACCTTTTGGTTCTTCTCCTTCTAAAATTGTGATCCTTAACTACCCCTAGACCATTTCAGCTTATAAAACATTTATTAAGCATCTACTTTGTACTGTAGTAGACATTGGGTGACACAAGTATAGAGAAGATATGGTCTCCACCCTCAAGGAGATTTCAATTTAATCTAGTTAGGGTATATAACACAGCTAATTAGATTACAAAATCTTTAGGAAAAGAAGTGGGAGAAGAGGGTCCCATGTGAGGTTCTAGGAAGAAAATGTTGCCTAGCAACATACACCACAGCTAGGAGAAAGGTAAGTTTCAAATATAACTTCAAGTTTGAGAACCTAAGAGATGGTAAATAGTAGAGATACAAATGTATTCTGCAGGGAGGATTTCTAGATGAAGTGGCTTTCGATTTGAATAAAAGCTGTGTAGAAATTCAGTGGTTATAGGGGAGAGGGAGAAAATTTCAGATATAAATGTGAGCAAGGCCTTGAAGGTTGAAACAGAAAGGGTACAGTTTGGCTCAAATGTGTAATAATATATAGAGAGATTAATAATATAAAGCTGAGGTGAGACAAAATTTTAGAGGGCCTTAGATGTCAGGCAATAGGGAACCTTAGAAGACATTTGAGAAGAGGAATGATATCATCCTCATCATTATCGTGATTACAATAGCTAGCATTTATATAGTGCTTTAAGGTTTACAAAGCACTTTACAAATATTATCTCATTTGATCCTCCTAACAACTCTGGGAGGTAGGTGCTGTTATTCCCATTTTACAGATGAGGAATCTCAGGCAGATAGTTAAGTGACTTGCCCCAGGGAAGACTCTGAGGCTAGATTTTAACTCAGGCCTTCCTGATTCTAGGGTCCAGTGATTTGTCCATTGCACTACTTATTCTCCTCCTACCAGAGGACGAATAATAAGAGACTTAGAACCAAGAGAATCTGGTATTTCTAATACCAGGGAATGAAAAATATCCAGTAGGTAAGAATGGACTTTTATGTCTGGAGCTCTAGAGAGACCAAATCAAATAAGGACTGAAGAGTGACCTGTTGGATTTGGTAATCAGAGGGTTATTGGTGATCTTTGAGAGAGAGAATGGCTTCAGTGGAATGGTGGCCAGCTAACCAGACTTTAAGGAATTAAAGAGACAGAATGTAGTAGGGAAAGGGAGTCATCAGCTATGGGCAGTTACTTCAGGAAGTTCAGCTGTGAAGGAAAAGAGAGGATAGCAGTTCTGTGAATTAGAAAGGGCAAAGGATTGCTTTCTTAAAAAAAAAAAACCCCAGAAGACCTAAGAATGTTTACAGGCAGATAAAAAAGGAGCTGATGAAGAATGGAAACTGATAATAAAGTGGGGGCTGAGAGTGGGGAGCAGGAATGATTACTGCTACAGTGAAGTTTGAAAAAAGTTAGAGGGAATGGGATGAAGAACAGGAAGGATGGGCAGTAATTGTTGGAAGTTTCTAAAGAATGAAAGAGGAAGTGCTGTCTTGTGGTCTCAGTAGGAAATTAAATGATATACTATAAATGGAGGGGAAGGACAAGAGGAGAGAAATTTGGAACAGGGAATGAGATAAGAAAATAAGGATAAACTGGGAGGATTGTTGGGAAATGGTAAGGACCAAATTGAGCTTTGTATAATGTTTTTGTGGTGAATAAAGTCAGGTTTTGGGATTTTTTTTCTCCCTCCATTGATATTCAGTAGCCTTAGAACAAGAATGGAGAGAATAGGTGATGAGAGTCCTCTAGGGATGAGGATTCAGAGGTTGGGAATGGTGAAGGTTTGGGGGTAGGTGGGTCAGGGAAGAGAGAAAAGTTATTCTTAGAGTAATTGGCCATTAAAGTCAAAGTATAGAGAGGGATAAGGTAGAGCCAGAATTGTTGGGAAGAATAAGGATAGATAATGGAAGTCATAATAGCAAAGAGTATAAAGAGTTAGGATGAAGTGAGTTCTGATCTTAGGTACATATGAATCTCAAGTCTCTCAAGACCATCTGATAGAGCCATCTCCTTCCCCCAGCAGTGGCATCCCTCGGGGCCGATAGCATCTGGTACTTTGGGCAGGCTCTGACTTGCTATGCCTTACAAAGTCTCGTGGGAGGGCTTTGGTTTAGAGGTGAATGAATTACATAATAGGGCTTTTGGGAGCAAATTCATTATAATTTTTCGCTGCTATTTTTATTGTTACTCCAGTAAAAGTAAAAATGTCCATAATAATCACCTGAAATAATTTTAAATATTGGTTAAGATGACAGGTACTGCCCCCTTCCCCCAGGAACTTTGAAGTAATCATTTCCTAAAGGAAAAATCAAAACTTTTAGAAGTAATTGTGGTGAAAACCTTTCAGCCATTTTTGCCTATCTATATTGATTCTTCCCCCAATGACTGCTACTGAAACTGCCTGTTTATATGTTTTATGTTTATTTTGGTTGGCATTGTTGTTATTTACTGTAAAAATTGACATTACCAAATATTAAAGCAAGGCCCCACCCAGTGTCAGTGACCTTTGTCATTGAAAAATTCACATTTTCTTAGGTTAAGCTAATCCCTTCATATTTCCTGTATGAATTTGTGTTGAGGGACAGTAGCCTATATGTCAAGAATAAGTATAATGGATAGTGAAAAAAAGGAAGTAGAAGGCCCTTGGCTTTTTAAGTCTTTTAAAAATGTCTGCTACTAAAAGATTTCATGTACTGAAGACCAGTTGAACCTTGTCCTAGATAATTAAGTCTAAAAATTCCAACAGGAGTTCTAGATTAAGTAACATTTACTTTCCTTATTTAGTTTAGTATTTTAGTTTTCTTGATCACTTGAAAAATGAATGATGTGAATCCCATTGTGTTGTTTTCAGATGTAATTTTAAATTTCTATCCTCAGAGTATCGCAGGTATAGAGGTAGCAGTGCCTCTAGCCATGCATTTCAAAGTCATGCTTAATTGCCTCAGTTTCCTCATTTGTAAATGAAAGGGTCGGACTATTATGCTTAAAGTTTTTTCCAGTTTTTGACATTCTGTGAGTCATTTTTATTAGTGTCTAGGTTGTATTCTGGTTTCCATATTTTAAATTGAATGTTGGAACATTGTAGTTCAAACCCAATTTTGAAATTGTTTTGTAACTCCAAACCTAGGCATATGGCTGGTAGACAACCTGCCATATAGATTGTGGTTCTTCGGAGACTTCCTGCAGTTACATAATGAATGATAAGTTTAGAAATCTGCCTTACCAGATTATTATTAGCAGCTGGCATCATAGCCCACTAATTAGTTTTAATTTCTAAAAACTATTGAACAAGTTACCTCTTGATCTCAGTAAAAGCATAAACAGACATTTATTTGAAATGATAGAAAGATCAAGGATCACAGTGTTAACTTTACTCCAAGAACACAAGACTCCTGAGATGGTATTTGTGAAACTCTAAACGATCATGAGAACATGTGACTTGGCAGTTGCTGGAGACCTGATCAAAACAATTGACTATTGTGGTAAAGCAGTATGTTTGAGGACTGGGTAATAATCCAGGAAAAGGTTTGAGAACATTGATAATTTTTAAATGATTAAGATTTTATAATTTTAAGAATTAGTGGCACCAAAGAGACAACAGCATTTTTAGTGGTTATAATGTCAAAGAACAGGATAAATCCCATAGTCAGTAAGTAATGACTCTTCTACATCATTTTTCATGTTTTTGATGACAGGTTTGAACAATGGCTCCCTGTCATATGAGACAAGTGAGTAAAGATGTCATTAAATTGTTCAATTTCATATGTACTTGTTAGTACAAAGTAGAATAATGTCTAAATGAAGGCTCTTAACCTAAAGAAAATGTTGAAGAGGAAAACCCAAGTCCCATGTAATTCAAAACATTGATAATGTCAGAGCAGCTTAAATGCATTTTCTTAATAGACAGTTTTGAAGTGCAAAATTTCCTCATTTTGACAACCATTTGTTTTCTGCTTTATTTTCACAGAGACTAATAGACAAGTCCAGAGTAACCTGTGTAAAATGGGTGCCGGGTTCGGAAAGCCTTTTCCTAGTAGCTCATTCCAGTGGTAATATGTACTTATATAATGTGGAACACACATGTGGTACCACAGCTCCACACTACCAGCTACTTAAGCAAGGAGAAAGCTTTGCAGTCCACACTTGCAAGAGCAAGTCCACAAGAAACCCTCTCCTTAAGTGGACAGTGGGAGAAGGTGCCCTGAATGAGTTTGCTTTTTCCCCAGATGGGAAGTTCTTAGCATGTGTGAGCCAAGATGGCTTTCTCCGGGTATTTAACTTTGATTCAGTGGAGTTGCACGGTACAATGAAAAGCTACTTTGGAGGACTACTGTGTGTTTGTTGGAGCCCAGATGGAAAATATATTGTAACAGGTGGAGAGGATGACTTGGTGACAGTTTGGTCTTTTGTGGACTGTCGAGTAATAGCTAGAGGCCATGGACATAAATCATGGGTCAGCGTTGTAGCATTTGACCCATATACCACTAGTGTAGAAGAAAGCGACCCGATGGAATTTAGTGGCAGTGATGAGGATTTCCAAGACCTCCTTCATTTTGGCAGAGATCGAGCAAATAGTACGCAATCTAGGTTATCAAAAAGGAACTCTACAGATAGTCGCCCGGTAAGCGTTACATATAGGTTTGGCTCAGTAGGCCAAGATACACAACTCTGTTTATGGGACCTTACAGAAGACATTCTTTTTCCCCACCAACCCCTCTCCAGAGCAAGGACACATACAAATGTCATGAATGCCACAAGTCCACCTGCAGGAAGTGGTGGAACCAACCCAGGAAGCAATGGAAACAGCATCACGATGCCTGGAAATTCTGTGCCCCCGCCTCTTCCACGGTCCAACAGCCTTCCACACTCTGCAGTCTCGAATGCCGGCAGTAAAAGCAGCGTCCTGGACGGTGCCATTGCCTCTGGTGTCAGCAAATTTGCAACTCTCTCACTACATGACCGGAAAGAAAGACACCATGACAAAGATCACAAGCGAAATCATAGTATGGGACATATATCTAGCAAGAGTAGTGACAAACTGAACCTAGTTACTAAAACCAAAACGGACCCAGCTAAAACTTTGGGAACCTCTCTGTGCCCCCGAATGGAAGATGTTCCCTTATTAGAGCCTCTTATCTGTAAAAAGATAGCACATGAAAGACTGACTGTGTTAATTTTTCTTGAAGACTGTATAGTCACTGCTTGTCAGGAGGGATTTATTTGCACATGGGCAAGGCCTGGTAAAGTGGTAAGTTTTAATCCTTAATGCTGCATCAAGATCTAGAACTTGAATAGGTAGTGATTTTTTTTCCCCCTTGTGGGAGGGATGGGGTATAAAATGAATGTTGAATGACACTTCTTTATGCTTAATGTAAAGCTAAATGCATCAGAGCCATAATTTTGGATACTGCATGCCATGTAATTCCGAATCATTTGACATCTCGCCATAGTACATTAAAAAAGGAAAATATATACAAATTACCAGCCAAGACAGTTGTCCTGTTGGGAGTACATAGAGCCCTAAGGATCAGTTAGTGTTCCTATATTAGACTCTTGATTTTAGGAAAATCACAGCAATGTGGAAAAACAGTGATTTTAAAATGCTAAATTGAAAGTTTCTGCTTTGACTGAAGTAGTTTTGCTTAAACTCACTGACTAGGCTATTATGCACTTAATGAGAGAATGTGTGTTCATTTCAAAGTCACTAATTGTCATTTATAGTCAAATTTTTTTCAACTTGATCTTGAATGTGGTTTATGACTCTATCTAAAATTTAACTTTAGGAACAAAGCATTGAGCAGTGTTGATATTCTTTTTACATTGTTATGGCAATCCATCCAAAGACAAGAGCCTTAATTTTTAAAACCCATCTTAGTCATTTTATGACAGAATTAAAGTTGTTTAATAAACATCTTTTCAAAGAAGTGGTTTGTAGCACTTTGCTTGAGATTCTGAATAGAATGGTGGTCTAAGTATTTATGCTGTACTACTTAAGAGCCTGTAAGATGAAAGGAATCATAGACTCAAGAAGTCTGGTAGTCATCAAAAGTGCCTCTTTGTCATATATAAGCCAAGATAATTTGTACCCAATACTCTGCTCTTTTGGGGGGTGGGGGTTGGGAGGGGTGGGGGTGGAACTGAGGGAAAAGGGAGAAGCAAGTATTTTTGGTGAAACTCCAGCTTAGACTTAGAGGCCTCAGGCAAGCTTCTTATCTTTGTTTTTATAAAAGTACTGACTTTGAATTTGTTTGGATTTTGCTTTTACACCCTAAGGAAACAGGCAGAATTTGAGGTCATTTGTGTCTTGGGGTTTTTTGTTTTTGTTTTAAATTATTATATTTTATGATACCCAGATGAGTGTTAATACACTGGTGAATAGTTTAGCTCTCAGGACTCTCATTTTGATATTGTTTCTAAATAAACAGAGAGCTGCTGCTTTGGAGCTCATATAATTGATTGATGGGTATCGAGGAGAGAGTTGCTAGGTGGAATTTTCTCATAAAAATTCTGATGCTCAAGGCAAATGGACCCAAGTGTTGCTTTAATCTATAGTATTTGGTTGTAATTCATAATGTACCTTATCATTTATTTAAAGCACTTCTCTTCCAATATTCAGAATGGCAAAATTGATTTTTTTAAATTGTATTTTATCAAAATGACAGTTTCCTGCTTGATAATTTTTATTCTTGGCATTAAGGTTTGTGGTTATAATATGGTCTACTTCATTAAATCTCCAGATAATCAGAACGTGTATTAGTTCAAAGTTAAAATAGTAAATGCAATTACAATAAGTAAAAATCTAATATTTGTATCTCTTGATATGAACGATTTAGTTAAAGGATAACTGAAATGATGTGTTATAGCCGTTACACTGGTGCTGCCTGCAACTCTCAAAGAATTTGCTGGAATCATGTTTCATCCAGGCCTAGTTTTCTGCACATATAATGGCTGGATCCATTAACTTTATATTTATGAAACTCCTTAATGAAAAGTCTGTTTCTATTACCTTGTAATAGAAATAAAAATGTAATAAAAATAAAAACAGTAAAAATCATTCTTTTGTATTAAAGCCACAAAGCACTTTTCGATTGTATTTTGTTTTGTTACACATCCTAGAGTATTTGTTCCTGGAAAGAGAGAGGTATTAGTGCACTATCTTATAAAATATAGTCCTTTGTTCCTAAATGTTAACTGACCCCATAGGTAACTAAAGACAGACATTTTAGCAGATCTTTTCAACTTTAAGTCAGTCTAAATTTGGTTGTTAGAAAAGTAAATGAATAATTAACATCATGTGTACAGTTTTGTGCACAGACATTTTTAGAAATCCTGTTTCAAATGCTTCTGAGACATTGAGTATGCAGTTTCAAAATTCAAGATTGGGTATTTATCCACTTTTGAAAGTGGTTAATCACAGGTAAGTCATATTCATACTGATGTTACCCTGGTCTTTAAAATTCTAATGTTATTGCACACTGATAGTGTATTATTAGCATAATTTGGCTAGATTACACCTTCAAGTAGATCGACATTTTTAAAGTCTTTATTTCCATTTCCCTGCAATGAAACTAAGAGTTTCATTAGCAAATAAACAGGATTTTTGCTGCTTGGAAATGAGGTCATGAGAGCAGGGACAAGAGGGCTTTTGTCAAGAATATATAGCAGAAGGAACAGGATGAGAAGAAGCACTTGAATTTTTCAATTTAATAAGAATTTTCAAATACATAGAAAAGAGGGGAGTGGCTGGATTTGGGGCTGGGTTTTACATTGTAGTTTTTTTTCCTTTTTGCCAGTAAATCTATCCTTACATTTCAGTATCCTGTGTATACTTTGCCATTTTAATTCTACATCCCCCCTCTCCCTTGTTTGTGCTTTCTTTTTACTTTAGTGAACTGGAACCATCTCAGAAGTATAGGTTCTTAATGGGTCATTCAGCAAGTATTTATTCAAGCAGTATGTACCAGTCACTGTGCTAAGCGCTGGGAAAATAAAGAAAAGCCGAAAAGCCGATGTAGTAGATAACATCACAGAGTGGTCCTCACCTTTCCCTCTGACTCACTGCCCCCCTTTTTCTGACAGCCAGCAAAACACTTCTCCTCTAATCAGGAGGACAGAATACAAGGTATTCTTTTAGACCAAAACTAAGGTGGCTCTCTACAAATTGCCCAGAAGAGTGGGATGGGTTGGTTTTTCACCATTCTCAAAGCGTTTGCAAAAACACTAGTAAGTATATCCTAAAATTTAGGAGACAGAATGTTGTACATCTCTCAGATCAGTCTATTTCAGACTTTTGTGAATTTTTTATTAGTTTTTTTAAACCTTGACCTTCCTTATTACTGGATATTTTTCCAAAGGCTTTTTGTTACTGCCGTATTAGTGGGCTAGAGCATCTCTTTTGATAGCAAATTTAGAAGTGAAAACACAGGAGTTGACAGAGGAAGAAAATCAATCGAAAGGCATATTCAATTGGCTTTTTTTCTTATTAGACTATAAAGAGGTAACAAACAGATAATTAAATGAAATACTAAATTTAATTAAGGATAGGGTGTGCTTGTTTCCAGCTTGACAAAAGTGTTAATTTTATGTACAATTTAAGAAAACAAGAAATGCTTTTTAGAGCTTTGAGCAGTCTCTGGCCAATAGTAGTGTTAATTTTGAGTTAACTTGGCATTTCCCTTATCTCATCTTTTTTCAAGTCACTGCTTAAATAGTCCAGTTTGAAACTGATTTTTACCATGTACGTGGGCAAGATTTTGATTCTTGGGGGTTGGGATGTATTATGTGAAGTTAAAACTTAAACTGTCTTCTTTAATTATCATGATGTGGAATAGGGAAGTTAAAAGTCACTGTCATCTTACCTCCCTCAGTTTGTTTTGAAAGCAAAACCAAGACATTGAAAGAAATAGCAAAATAGTATTTTAAAACAAATAGCTTTTGATAGCAATTTTACTACAACTTTCAGGAAGGTATTTTCGTTTTCTTTCACTGTTTTTGTATATATGTTAGAACTTAACGCTTTTTGAAGGAGAGAAGTGTTATATAAATACTGCCTCTTGAAGCTTTTGGCTGGAACTAAGAGAATGCTGAAAAAAGATTAAGAGGAAGACTCTATAAAACAGGAGGAAACTACAGCAAAGATTTCCCATACTTTCCACCTTAGAATAGAACTGAAATACCTTTGATAAATAAGGGGGAGATGAACCCCAGAACTTTATATTTCATTTATCTGTGGGTGATATACTGACATATACTGAGACATACATGTACCTTTAATTCATACTTGGAAAGTATTTGAAATTCATTTTCTATTGTCTAGCAGAAAATGCCCTAGATGAATAACTAGTTCATTCACTTGACTCCTTGCATCATGTAATAGATCTTGAAAATTTGCTCTCAAATTGATTATATTGATTTGTATTTATTTATTGAAGTTGTTTTCTTCCGCTCACAACTTCCTGTAACCTCTTGACTTTGAAGTAAAGTAGGCTTGGTTTCCATGTTGGGGCAAGCTTCAGCTATCACTTAGCAAAATGCCAAAGGGCTAATTGAGGCAGGCTGGCAACCTGCATAAATAAACTTTCTTTCAGAACTCTGTGAATGAAACTTGATAGTTTGATTGTCCAGGGGAGAACTTAGCAGCCTTTTAACAACAAGGTTTTCAGATTCAGTATGCACGTGGTACCATATCTGTCTTGTTTTAGTGTAATGTCGTTTTTTGCTCAGAGTGCTTAAACAGACCATATCAATGTACCTCATGCTATAAGTGTTGGTGAATGGAAAAGAGAAGTTGGCCTATTTCTATTATAAAGGGACATTTCTTTCTGACAGATGATATATCTTCAGTGTTGATGTTTCAGATTCCCAGTTGTCATTTTTATTTCCCAACATGAGATTTTCTGTATAAGCCTCAGGCATAATATAATTAAAATGAATCTTTGTCATATGATCTGGGTGACAAAGGTAAAAATTGAAGCTTCTGCAGTCTTGTGTACATAATTGGGAGAGGGGAAAGAAAGCCAATGCCTTCCTCACTCCCTTCATTATCAGGTTAAATCAGAACTAATAATGATCATTTGTGACAGAGCAAAATGCTTATTGCTTCAATTAACTAACAAAGCCAAAAATACAGCATGACCTTGTGGTATAATAAAGGATGATTAAGGGTTAGTAACCTCGCTGGCTTTCATCAGTTATAGAATTTCCCCCTATATTCAGCTATGACCTTTGAAACTTGGTTATCTATTTTAAAACAGATATGCCTCTGCCATCAGAGAAATCTATTAAATTGGTATTATGAATATTTTACTCATTAATGCCCATGTTACATGAAATCCAGATCATCACTAAAATTGAATGTAATCTAATATACAATTTTTTTTTTGCTTTTTAAAAAAAAGTCTGTATTCCTGGGTTTCTTCAAGACTGCTAACCATGATACTGTACAAAACCTGTATTACTATTTGCCTTTAGTGAAAACCAAAAGTAAAATCAGATGTATTTCCTTTTTTTATATTTTCATCTAATTTCTTCAAAACTTGAATAAATTTCATAATGAGCCTTTCTAACATAAGATACTGGTAAATTAAGTTCTTAACTGTTGCAATAACGAATGAAGCTTTAATAATATCTTTTGTTGGGTTTTTTTAGTTTTCAAAAAAAATCATGTTTCTGTTTCACACAGCTTTGTTTTTTTAGCTGTTCAGCTATCTTCATTACAGCTAAAGAACCTCACTTAATACTTGATAATTGCAAAGTACTTTGGGGTTGTCCACTGTTTTATGACATTAAATAAAATGTGGGAATTATAAATGTAGATGATTTTCAAGTCATTTTCCTACCTGAACTTGAAAATCTGAGTAAACCAAAAACCTTTTTTTTCCCCCCACACTGGGTAAAATCAAGGCCCTTATCAGTTCAATAGAAAAAAAAAAGCCACAAGCATTGTTAACATCACCTACTTTCTAATTCAGAATTTTTAATAGATTTACTTTAAAAAAAAAAAGCTTGCTTAAACTACATCAAAAAATAATTTTCTGTGCCCTTTATCACTGCAAAATCAAATATAGAGAAAGTTCTGTTGATTTAAAAAGTTTTCAACTGTTATATAAAGTTTAGTTTTTATGATTATAGACTGAACTATCATTGCATTGTAAGTTCAGTGAAAATAGATTCTGTTGAAATTTGATTTCACAAATCTAGACATGAATAGTTGGGTTCTCTTCAGCCAAGCAAAAGCTGAAATGGAGACATTTTATGTTTTTCGTTTTTGTTTTTGTTTTTTAACTCTACAGGAGCTCTTTTCCTATGAGGATTTCCTTCTATAGCCTTGAACTAAATTTGCTTGACACCTTTTTTCAAGATAGACGCTGTCCTATTAGAAGTAGCCACCTCCTAGAAAAATCTAGAAAACATTTCCATTTTAGAAACTGATATATAGATAGGTAAGGAGAGAATGCCCACTTTCATGATTTTAATAAGCTGTAGACAGTTATTTCTGTTATCTTGCTATGAAATGTTATCCACTCACTCTCAACAGACATAATTGAACTGGGCAGCGCCCTGGGACCTCCATCCCTGAATGCTTCAGTGCAGGAGTTCCAGGCCTACACTCACACAAGTCACCATCAGAGGTACCACTGAGGTAAGGGAAGGCTAGCATGGAGAGAATAACCTTTCATGGAAATGAAATGCCCACTTTACTTTCATTATTCAGTTTCATAAAATTTCTAATAACACTGGGCCCAAACTTGGCAGTTGTGATCTCTCTTCTATTTCCGTCTCAAGTCCCAGGTTTCTTTGGAAAAGTGGCACAATCCAAATTTGTCCCATCCTCAGGGGTGACATGTTTGTTTTCCCTTGTGGTCTAAAACCGTAGCATTCATCAGAAACTATGTTTGAGAAGCTCACATCTGTAGCTCCGTACTCTTAAGCAGTAGTGAATTCAGCAAGCTGAGTAAGTGGCCCTGTTTCTGTTGTGGCCCATATCTTACTCTCTTCCAGGGAGATCTTAGACCAGAAAGGTGTTCTCAGATGCATAGCTCCTTTAAGTCTAGGCCTTACCCAGTCCATAGTTACTATACACTATACATGCTACAGTCCTATAAGTCTGGTTCCTTGATAGATTCAAGCTCTGATATTTAAGTCCCCACATTTTCTTTTCTTTCCACCATTTCCGTTACTGACAGCAATGTTTTTGATTGGCATATTGAGCCTAGAGTAGCTAGCTTGTTGCCTGTAAAGTGTTTTTGAACATCCATCCCTCCACCCAATTCCCCCAATAGCACTTAATTGTCATAAGAGAAGTTTAGTAGGTTAAGGATCTGTAATTTCATTGTTTTGGATCTCCCCACTGGTACCCCCACCCCCCAGATATTAATATATCTTATTGCTGGATTTTTTGAGAACTGCTATGGCCAAAAGACTCATCACCCTACAGCCAGCCTCATGAGGAGAATCTAGGAATAGCTGTTCCTCAGCAGATGCGGTTCAAACTAGACTTAATACTCAAAAGTTTTCCTAATTTAGGACCTGAATTCCATTGCTACAGTCTTTGAAAACAGGATCACTCTGGTAGGACTGCGCTAAGCAAAAGGTCAAATGTGAACAAAACTACTTTGGAAATGTCTAAGAAATATTATCTGGAAATTGTTTGAAAAGACTTTATGAAATGAGAAGTGACTATGTTCTTTACACCTACTTTTTAGCATTTATAGATGTCCTGATTAACAAACCAACGATGGTAGTCTAAAGACCTGCCTGGCTAAGTGTGAAGAGGCTAATCAGAGAGTTGACCATAGGGTGAAGAATTTTCTCAGCAATAGTTGTTTACAAAACTAAGAAGGAAATGGAAGCAGCTGCAGTCTGCATTAGTGAAGAGAACAGATTAAGTTTGTAAAAAGGGGCTGGCAGCTTTTATGTTCACTTTATTTTCTGTCCAGAGGTAAGATTTGGATGGTACTGCAGTTATAAGTATTACAAAACTATGAATTTGAATAGCCTTCCAGTATTGCTAACTAGTTTATCACTGTTTCTGCCAAAATTGGAGAATTTAAGTAATTACCTCAGTTTGTTTCGTTTGAGAGTGTAGACTTCTGACAATAGACTGAATCCAAACAGGTCCTGTATCAATTAGGATTAGTTTAGGTGTGAAAGGCAAAGTGGGAAAATGGGAATAGCACTGGTCCTGGAATTAGGAGATTTTGGATTTGAGTCCCAGCTCTGCCACTTGGTGGCTATGTGAATGTAAGCAAGCCATTTGTTGAACTTCAGTTTCCTCATCTGCAAAATGGGGATAATATCTATGCCAACCTGTTTTACGAGGCTAATGTCAAGAAAGCACTTTGTAAAAGTTAAAGTCCTACATTATTATTATGTATGGCCTTGGTTAGCTTTAGATACAGTTGTAAGGGGAAGGATCCTAGAGCTCACTTACTGATCAGTCAGTAAATATATACAATGCCCCTTTGACAAGCGTTTCCTATCCATAAACTTTGATTTTAGTGAGGTGAACTACGTAACTTAGTACATCCTCTAAAATTGTTCATTTATTTGCCATTTTGAAGAATTCAGCCTTCTATATTCAGTTTAGTTTACTAGGTGACATGGAGAACACAAAAGATAAGCAAAATATAGCCCTTACCTTCAGAAACTTAAAATCTAGAAGGCAGGAATAAGTCATGTTCACAAATTAAAGCACCATAAGGTAAATGTGGTAAGGGTCATAAGAGAGATATAAAGTGCTACAATCACTAATAATAATAGTGGAATGAGTTGGGGAAGATAAGTTGGGACCATGGCAGGTAGGACTATTGGTAGGCTAATTAGTTTGGGCTTTATTCTGTGCCTGGGGCATGGGGAACACATTGAGAGTTATAGCTCTCAAATTCCAACCTCCTTCATGAAATCATTGCACAGCAGCCCAGCCTGAAAGATTTACCTTAAGCACTTTTCTTTATCAGAGCTCTCTTTTCCCCCAGTCACCATACTAGGCATCATACTTGTATGCAGACAGAAAGACACACATACCCCTACACACCTACACCTCTCCCTCTCCCATTATATGTAAGCTCAAGAGCAAGGATTGTTCTTGTTTTTCTGTCTGTCCCAAAACCGATAACCAAAGGGGCCTTCAATGTAATAGTCCCTTAACAAACACTGAATTGAGAGGAGTGTTGTAAATCAGAACTGCTTTAATATTCAGATGATATTTGTTTTGTCCAGGATTTCTTGTTTTATGACTGTCAGGTTTTATAAAAACATTTTTTTGCTTAGATGGCTAAGTTCCATGCAACTAGTTTTTTTAATTCTTAAATTTTTAAAAAATAATTTATATCACTGCAAAGTAAAGGGTTATTTTTCTGTACATAAATGCAAGGTTGTGTCGTTAATTTTTCTAATGTTTTATCAGATTTGTACATATTTTTATATCATTCATTTTCATCTGAACGTGAACAAATAGAGCATTTGTCCAAATTGAGAAACCTGGATTCTTGTTCAGGCAAATCACTTCCTCTCTCTGGATCCCAGTTTCCCTCTCCATAAAGTGAGGTCGTAGGGCTAGATAAAACCTAAGGTTTCTCTCATAACTCCACAACTTAAATGTTTAGGGTGCTGATGGTGTTAGAGCACTCAGGCAGGCACCCCTAATTTCATAATAGAAGCACCATTTGCTAACATAGTACAAATTCAATTAACCAGAACTGCCAGGTGGAGTTCTTGGTCTACTTTTAGAGATAACAGAATGAGCACATATTTTTGTGTGTGTGTGTATAAAGTGAATAGGACTCATAGCCTGAATAAACACATCCTAATTTCTTATGCTTTCTATAACTACATACTGTACAGTGAGTACTATAAATAGAATAGTAGTCATCAAAGGACATGCCACAAATTCTATTAGTTGTACAGCTGCTCCCACCATATCATGCAACTTCCATAATCCCCAGTCTTCAACCTTAGTCCCACCCAGCTGCAGTTTGTTGCCCGCTCTTTGTGTGAAGCAGCGCCAAGCCACTGTGTGCATTTTTAGTCCTGGGAAAGTCAAGAAGAGGTTGACAGGGTGAGAAAGGAGAAAGGCAGAGGACTGCCAAAGCCCAGATACTGATACCCAATTGACTGGCATCCTTTGTTGCCAGCTTAAACATTTAATGTGCCACAGTGTCTCACAGCAAATACATACACACACATATACACATAAACATTATTTATTTTATATATATATATATATGTGTGTGTGTGTGTGTGTGTGTATGTATATATGTATATATATGTATGTATATATGTATCTCCTTGTCATGAGGTAAATATCTTTAAAAACCACTGGTTTAGAATGACAGCCTTGAAATCCTACATGATCCTTAAATACACCAGAAATATTACATTAGTACTACATGAGGCACTAGAGTTCCACATGGATACATAATATAGTGGAATGACCATTGAGTAGTGATTTAGGAAATGACTTCTCCCAGTGTTGTTATTAACACATTATAGGATACCATATGGATGGGTGAATGTCCTAATTTCTCTGGGCCCCATGTTTCTCATCCCAGAATGAGGATGTAGGACTAGATCTCTAATGTTCTGTGGTCTTAAGTATTTTCTCCTAAGGCATGAATGTGACTAACACAGTTTAAAAAGATTTTCAGCGTGGAAATTTTCTGCCTAACCTTCAATAACCAGAACATCTCATGCCTGTAGCATTTTGACTGAGACTTTACTATATTAGCTTAATATCTTAAATTATATAAATTCAGTAAAATTATGGTTAGATCACTTTACCTTTTATTTTTAAATGAAATTTTTGGAGTGACTCAGAAGCTCCCTTAAGATTCATGTACAATTCTTTATTAAACTGTGCTCATTACTTTAATAGAGTTCTGTAGGAAAAAAATCATACTGAAGAGAAAGGGCCTCAATCATAGAATGGTAGAACTGGGAGAGAGTTTAAGAAAGCATCTAGTCTTCATTTTTACAGATAAGGAAATTGAGGCCCAGATGGCAGTAAGTTGATGGTGGAACCAGTAGGAGAACACAAGTCTTTTGGTGTGTAGCCCAAAGAATGGGGGTGGGGAGGATGAAAACAGAAATTGTGTCCAACCTTATTTGCAGCAAAGGCTAAAAAATGCAGTCATGGGAATAGTAACTTTTAGAAAAATGGTTTTGGTTGGATTTTGGTCCTATTCTACCATCCTCAAGTAGATTTGTTACATAAGGCCCATTTTTTCTATTCAGTTGAATAAATCATGAAGCTTGTTGATGGGGAGGACAAATTGTCAACTGAAAATAAGCAAAACACATACTGGCAAAGTTGCCCTCTGGAACTTCTAATTCTACATTATATTCTATAATTTAGAAATACCAGATTCTCATGTAGCATTTGGTTGCTAACAGTTGCCATGGCTTAACATGCCTCAAAGTCAAGTCTATATTTTCACACTGGTTTAGTTAACTAAAACGAAAAGTTTCTAGCACCTCTCCCACATCCCTCCCCGTAAAAAAAAAAATAAGCTATGCAAACACTAATAAAAATTCATATTTATTCTATAGTGCTTTAAAGGCTTACAGAATACTTTAAAGGTCCTATAACAAATGTCTTCATTGGGTACTTTATTCCCCAGTTAAACTGGTTGAATCTGTAGTAAGTGCTTTGCATGCCTTACTTCTTAAGTCTTTTTTTTTTTTTGCCAAATGACAAGCTTTGCCTAACATTTTTACAGTTTACAAAATGCATTCTCGTTTGATCCTCACAATGGGGTGAAGAGGTGGCAATCAGTAGTAAGTTCTGGGACAAGCCTGTAATCTAATTCTGACTCCACATCCAGTGTGTGTTCTGTGGCATGCTGCTGTTCAGTGAGTCAACCAGCATTTGATGAGATGCCTGCCTACCGTGTACCAGGCATTCTGCTAGACCCTGGAGTGTGAAGAGAAAGATTAAACAGTCCTTGCATTCAAGGACCTTGTTCCATCCTACTTATGTACACAGAAGCATATATAGAACGTACATATGCATATGCGTGGGTGTGCCTTACTGGGTTATGGCAAAGGGAGCAAAGCAGGGCAGAAATCATTCCCAGGATCTCTGAGGGCCAAAAGCCTTGGCCTTTTGTAGTACCTTTGTGTTTCACATGCAGTAGACATACAAAATGATGGTTAAATAAATATATATATTTTAAAGTGATGTACTTTATGGCTAAATTTTTCTTTTCTGCTCTTGTCAGCTATTTTTACCAATTCAGTTTACTAGCCTTTTATGAAGCTCTGATTTAGTGCCACTCATTACCAATCAGCAAGCATTTATCAAGGGTCCTCTGTGTTCCGGGCGCTGCCCTAAGTGCTAAAAAGACAAATACTAACGTGAGGTAGTTCCTTGCCCACAGGAAGTTGGATTCTGAAGCTCAGAGAAGGAAGGGACTTGCCCATAGTCACAAAGTTTCTGAGAGACACTATTGGAAGTAGAAGCCTGGACTCCCAACTGGAATGACATAGAGCTTCCCTCCATGTGCATTCTGTGCATTGATGGCATTCTTTCTTGTCCACGTAGAGCCTGTATCTACAGCCCTCTCTTCATTCCCTAGGTCCTTAGCCTATACTTCCTTACACATCGGTAATGTACGTAACAGTAACTGATGTTTATTATGAAAATTATTGTTGTACCTACTTCAAGCATGCTCGCCATCAGTTGAAATGCATGTTTGAGACAAATGATAGGTTGATATATATTTCTTTACTTTTTTTCCTACCCATCTTCATGGGGAAATGTAATTTTGATAATCCGTCTTCCCTTTATCACTGATTATAACCTTGAAGTCATATTGGGGGTTCAGTTTCAACATCATATCTTCCTGGCCTTTCCCTTTTAGATAACAGTTTTTGTTTTCAACAGACACTTTAAAATCTGTTTACATTATTTGGGCATCAAGTATAATTTTACCATTTTGAATTTCTAGTTTTATTCATTAGGGTTAGTATCATGAATATTACTGGTGGTTTTATCACAATTTCTTTGTGTACTTTCTTTTATATTTAGAATGTATATATGTTTTTTGGAGAATTGCTGTGGATGTGTGTAGTATGTATATACATACTACACACACTTCTGTTAAATACATTCTGTGAGCAGGTAGAAATTACATATAAATAAGTGACATCCTAAACTTTAAATTCATAGGATTCCAAAGTTGGGGAGAACCTCAAAGGTCTTCTAGTTCAGCCTGAACCAAATGATTTCAGCTTCTATTATAAAAACTTTCAGTGAAAGGATACTCTGAAATACCGAAGATATTGCCATTATATGCATACGAAAAAAGCATAATGGGGTGAGAAGTTTTCAAGTCAAGTTTGTTTTTCTGTCTTGGCAATATCACTTACTAGATCTGTGACTGTGGGCATCTAGACCTTTCTGAACCCATTTCCTCATTTGTTAAATAGGAATGATAAGATTTGTACCACCTACCTCATGATAATTGTGAGGATTAAATGAAATTATGACTGTATAGTGCTTTGTGATCATAAAACGTGGAAATAATAGATATGTCTTATGCCCAAAGAAAATTGAAATATAACATGGTATGATTGATACAGGATTGGCATAGAAGCCAAGAAGACTGGTGCATGCCAGAGTGAGAGCAAGGAAGACCTCAATTCAAATACCCATCTCAGACCATACCTGTGTGACCCTGAGCAAATCACTTAACCTCTCCAAGGTCTCAGTTACCTCATCTGTAAAATTAAGGGGTTGGAATCAATGCCCTCTAAAGCCCTTCCCAACTCTATAATCCAGTAACCAGAGTTTAAGCCTTGCCTCTGAAACAGTGCCCCAGGCAACTCTTTAAAGAATAATCAATTCAGCGACAAATTGCTAATCTGGATCTACATTCATGAAAATCGTTTCTTCATGCATTCCTCCGTTCCCCACCCAAGTGAAATCCTAAATCTGGACCAAAACTAAATCATCATCATCATCATCATCATCATATTTAATCAAAGTACTATCAAATTCTTCATGCTAAAACGATAGACACATTATTACTGTTGTTGCTATTACTGTTTCAAATACCTAGGATCTTATTTTGAGTTTATGGGATTTTCCCCTTAATATCTTCTAAAATTACAAATAAGTTTATTTGTGTTTGTTTCTCTTTGCTATCCAGTAGAACCCTTTTGGAATCTTTTATACCTGTTAGGAAGAAAATTACCAATTGATAATCAAAGATTTAATTAATTGATAATTGACAGGTTATGTCTTGCTATCTACACACATGAAAGCTCACTCCCTTTCACATCAAGAGTTGCACTGCAAGCTTACATTATATACAGATGAAAGATATATAAGTACATTCTAAAAATGAAAGACAGTGCCATTGTATAACAGGGTTAATCCTCCATTATCCAGAAAAATCTGACTAACCAGAAAGCCTGCTCCTACTGATTGATGTTCAGTAAAAATTAAAATGTCCCAACAGATAAAAGAAGGGCCTGCTGGCTGGTTGCCATGCATTAAGTAATTGAATTAGATAATGGCACCTTAAGAATAGTATGTATGGTTCAGAGTATGCTCAGTGATCTTGGGCAAGGAATTTCATCTCTGAGCCTCCGTTTCTGTCCTAAATGAGGACTAACAATCCTGCTCGCCTTCCCTTCCTTTACACTATTGTTGGGGAGATTAAAAGAAAAGCACCTAGTAAACTTGATCAAAACTTGATTATTAAAATGTAATATTGCTAATAATATCTATTCGTGTAGAAAAGATAATGGATGTAGTAGGAATAACAATGGATTTGGAGTTAGGACACAGACTCCCTAGTCTCATTCTAGGTTGTGCTCTCTTTAAACAAATTGTTTAATCTTTGGACATCTGTTAAGTCTGAGTTGGGACTGAACCTCTAAAGTCCTTTCCAGAGCCAAGCCCTAAAAGATTATGTTCTGTCCAAGGTGGCCAGAGTGCTGGACTTAAAGTCAGGGAGACTGAGTTCAAATCCTGCTTTAGACACTTTAGCTATATGAACCTTGGCCATTATTGTCATCTATAAAATGAGTTAATACCACTTACCTCCCCAAATTGTTGTGAGGACCAAATGACTGTGTAAAGTGCTTCACAAAGCTTTGCTGTCATCATCATCATCCTTATCATCCTTGAAATACCTTTTGCAGTAATTCATTTCTGTAGTACCTTCCTCACAATAATCATATTAAGTTAGACATGAAACTATATGATCCCTATTTTATAACGGCAGGAAATGAGGCTAAGAAAGGTTAAAGGTTAAGTAATTTGCTCATGGTTATACAAATAATGGAGGTAGAATTTAAACCCAAGTTTCTGGGAGGGAATAATGCAGCCTATCCAGGCCCTCACCAAGCCTCTGGGTGCTTGTCTGTCCCTCAGTAAAACGAATTGTTCTCTCAAAGCAGTAAGGGTAAATGACAAGGTATGCAAAGTACTTTAGTTTCTTAGAAGGAAGGTGCCATATGCATGGAAGGTAGAGACAGAACACATCAAGAACGGAAGATCATGAGTGTGGCAATACTTCTGTCCTATAATGATAGGCTCCTAGTAGAGAATGTTAATTCAGCAGAACTATTCTAATGTTGGGTGGGCTGGTAGGTAGAACCTTTCTCAAAGGAGTTTTCTCCCTGAAGCACTGTAGACTTCACTTGCTTGGAGAAGGAATGATGAGTAAGTAGGTCAGGTGCTAGCACAACAAACATGGCTTGAGGAGGGAGGGTAAGAGCAGAAAGCCTACATCTGTTTTTATCACAATGGCTTATTTTTCCTTTACAGGAATCTGTCTAAGACAATTATGTTTTGATAGGTTGCTCATTTTTATTTCAGGAATGAGACTTAGTCTTTTAGATAGGTGAGCAGGTAGATAGATCATTTATCCCTTCGAACCAAGTAACTCACCCCACAAACTCCCTTACCATATTCTAGGTAAATGAGTCTTAAATTCTGAAGAGATTCTCCGAGAATGTGCCATTTGTTATTTCATTAAAGTATTCCTTATTCCACAAACATTTTATGGTAGAAATTCTTAGCCAGATATTTCTTTTGGAGTTTGCTTGTAGCTATTTTGTTGTGCAAAATATGCAGTTCTTTGATTTGGTTGCATTGACCACTTAAAATGATTTTTCCTCAGGCTTCTAATTTGACTAAGATGCACTATAAGATCCCTTCCAATTCTGAGATTCATATGGGAGATTTACATATATATATATATATATATATATATATATATATATATATATATGTATATGTATGTATGTATGTATTATATATAACTTCTTGTGGTTAGAATTCAGAAAGCTAATCTGCATCACATATAGAAGCCAACCAGCATTTTCTAGGCTTGTTGGGGAACTAGAAAATGCCACTTTCTTTATCCACCTATCCTGGTAGATTTCTCACATCTGACTTGGTGGATCTGAGTTAGCAGGAAAGAGTTTAGTTGGGCTAGGTTTTGAGACTCATTACCACCAATCCAGAAACGTGTTCTTTTGGTTTAGAAGTCAGAACAGGGTTCTTTCCTTTTCTCAGTAGTGGTTCCTGGGTTCTTGGATCTGAGAGGAAAAGAGCTCCTATAGATTCTGAAGAGGTGTCAAATTCTACATTCCAATTGGTATTTGCTTCCTGGTCTTGTCTAGATTAAAGGATCTAAGTTACAGGAACCTAACTTTAAGGTAAGAAATGATCTGTACATAAAATTACTTAAGTGGTAGCATAACTATAGTCCCACTGGTTACCTAGAACAAGGTGCATGTAACTTTGTCAATGAATGCTGTTCAAGTATAGATAGCCATTTTATTTGCTACAAATCCCAAATGTGAAAAATAAATACTGTATCTGGCACACTTTTTTTAATCTTAGTTTTATAAACAATACTTAGTACTTTTCAGTTTGGCTTTAAGAATAATTGAGTTTATGTGCCTAAAATGTAAGATTTGTAAGTTTGGTGTTATGCTCTTGTAAAAGTAAAGTATTATATTCAGTGAATATAGAATTAAGATCTAACTGTACATATCCCAGAATATTGTAGTAGCCATTTATTTTGGAAAAGATTAAACATGCTTAAGTTTATGTAAAATGGCACCTACTTGAAGTTAAGAGAAATTTAATATGGATCTCATTTTCTGCCTGCCATAAAGCAACATAAATTATGTTGAACAGTTAGTTAGAGCAACACACTCCCAGGAGTTTCAGGCATCCTGTTAACGTAGTTCCAAAGATCCCACCCTTCATTCTAATCCTTACTGCTTCAGTGGTTGGCACTGGCTTTTGAACTCTTTGTTCAATTTTTACATTCACCAATGCCTTATTTATTTTACCCAAGAACAGCCACTGGTTCGTTCTTCTGTAATTCCACAAACCCTCTCTCTCTGCCTCCTCCCCACCGAACCCCCCTCCCCCAAAAAATCCACAGTTACTTGCTCTACACTGAAACATGCTTGAAAAGTATTCTCCCTCTCATTAGAGAAATCAGTTACAATGAAAACACGTCTGGGATTGCCTCTGTTTCGTGTTCCCCCACCATTCCGTTGTGCACTGTAATTCCCGAACTTGTCTCACTTCATTCATTGTTAGTTCACTACTGGTGAAGAGGAAATAAATGGCTTATTTTGGAGGACGAAAGCACAGCGCATAGTCCTGCCGTAGGACATCCATCTCTTTCACAGGCCTTAGTCTAACTTCCTTCCAAAAAGATGAGCAATTTTTTTCCTTTTCCCCAGGGGTATTACATATGAAGTATTAGATATGCATGGATTTGGGGGCTCAATGAATTTTGCTTTGTGTTACTTAGTAATTATGAATTTAACGTCTGCGTAGGAGCATAACTTGATGAAAAAAATTGAATTATGTGATAAAACAGTGGTTACCAAATAAAATTGACCTGTTGATTAAGATGATGGAAATAACTACTAGTATAAATGTGTTCTTAGATACCGGGTTCTTTGCTGGATTAATGTAAACTGCTTTGTTTGCAGGGTTTATTGTCATCCCAAAACCAGGCCAATTCTCCAAGTGGAACTGTAGTGTAGCCATCCCAGTACTGCGAACAAAACCCACCCCAGGACAAGGAATAATGACAAGGGCACCAAGAGCTGCTCTCTTCAGCCACAGAGCATCGACATGTCTAAAATGGCCGAATGTAAACCTGGAATTCTGGGGAACATAGTGTGGTACAGAAGAGTAACGTCATAGGTCCTTTTCCAGTGTTGTTTCCTTGGCTGCTCACCCAAAGAATTTTCTGTTTTAAAGTAATTCTTTTGGTATTGCAGTTAAAATGAGAAACTAGGTTTTCTTGCTTTTTACTTTAAAGTTCAATGTAATTAAAATATATATTATATATATGCATATATATATGTATATATATATACATATACATACATATATATACATAGTGTAAAATAAAATGTTTCTTGGACAAAAATACCCTCAAGTTCAGTTGTTACAAAATAGTACCTTAACCATTGTTTGTTTTTTGCACTGATTTTTTTATACTTGAGGTGGTAAGACAACCTAGGAATGCACTCAGAGAGTCATTTTTCTGACTTCAGTATATAATTCAGGAAGATGGATGCTGCAATCATAGATTTGTTTTAAAATTGCACTTAAGATAGTTTAATGTTAGTAGAGTACTTTAAATATGGGTAAATAGACTTCCCAGCAATGCTAAGTTGTGGAGATAAGAAATCCTTTGTATCTATTAAACCTTTATTTTAATAATAATGTTTCTAATTACAATCAGTTCTGTATTATATGTATAAATGTAATTCAATGATTGGGGAAAATGGTTTTCACCTAGTAATTTTCATCATCATTTAAGAGTATTTCTAACTCAGAAAAACATTAATATTAAACTATTTTAAATATGCAGCTTGTTTATTTTCTGTTAAATTGGCACAATTTTGATGTAATCATTCTTTTGTTGAATTAAATGTCTGGTTAGTAATTATTTTATTCCTTGAACACCTTGTCCTCTCCAGGCCTTTAAATTTCAATTTCACTGCGGCTATTCATGAAAACTACTAATACTGTACTGAGTTTATTCTCTAGAACTCAGTCTCTACCTTCCTTCTGTTCTTTTCTACAAGGATGACTTTTTTTTAAAGGCCTTTGTGTGTTACGACATGGAATCTTCAAAGTTTGTGTTTTTTAAGTTTACCATTCAATTCCTTTGTCTGACAACATTAATCCTTTTGTGCAAAGATCTATAATCATAGTTAACTTACATATGTCTTCTGAGGTCAAAAATTAGATCACAACTATAAGGTCAATTTGCATTTGGAAACTTTACAGTAATCTAAGCATAATTAAGAATTAAGCATAAAGGTGCTTTTCATACTAATCAATCAAATGTAAGATGATCCAAGATGTCTAATTATTTCTCAGGTCTAATTATTTTTTTCTTTTCAACTAATTAAGTTGCATACAAGTAACCCTTTATCTCAGGTTCTCTCCAAACATATTTGTATAACATCCTCCAGAAAAATTGTCACTCCAGCAATTGCCAAGTAGAAAAATATTTCTCATTAAAAAAGTCATATACAATTTTACCTTTTTGGGTGTTTATTTGGTGAAAACATAAAGCAACAAAACCATATAAAATAAGTACTTCATTTGATGTTACTAGGATCATCTGTCACCCTAAGTGAAAGTTAAAAATACCTAGAAAAGACAAGGACTTCATTAATTAGAAGTACAGGATGTGTGCTACACTGTATTCCTAAAATATGGAACAGGGCATAGAGGTCCATGTGATTGTTTCATTGGATTAGTGTCACACTAGGTCTTAAGGCTTTGGATTCTAAGTCTGCCTTTAACAACTAGGCACCCTAACGCTCTTGATGGATCAAAAGGCCAAAGATTTAACTAAATCTCTCTTTCTCCGTAAGGAGAAATGTACAGACCAAATAGTGGCTGAGGAAGCTTGCCTTTCTGCTCTCCTTACCTGTGTGGCTGATTTGGACTTCTGTTCCAGCATGGGTAAATTGATCACTCAGTCCTAGGACATCTGCAAAAAGTAGACTGTAGTCATCTTACTGAAGATCCAAGTCTGAAATTCAAGAGATGGGTCCAGATTCTAGAAGTTCAAAACTTTGGCATCATTTTTAATCAAACATCAAAATGAAGACTACATAAGTATTTAATGTATGTGGCATTTTTAGTCAAAGCACTGCAGGATTTGTTTTACAGGTGGGGAGCAATTACAGTTGCATCTGAGTATTACAGTATTTACTACATAGTGGAGTAAAGAGCTATTATGAAAGATACAAGAGGAATGGAAGAATGCTTTTCATGGCTATTTCCTAGCTTGTACCATATGACAAATCATCCTTGATGTCCTTTGACACAAGCACCACCAACATTTTAAGAAGCATAAAATTATCAACAATTTAAACAGTCTTAAGTGTGCAAAAAAAAAACCCAACTCTGGCTCTTCCTTAGACACCTAACTTGAGCCTTTCCCACTAAGTACAGTGATGTCTTAGGCAGCTTTGGAATACTATGTCATATTCTAATTGTGTATTGCCCATCCATTTGTAGGAAACTACAGATGGAAAATCCGAATTACACCCAGGACAATAATTGTGCATATTAAATACTAAAGAAACTTTGGCCTAACTGACCTTGTGGTTTTGTGAACATGTAACTACTTAATTACTTAAACTGTACTCTATACTTGAGAAAACCCTGTAGGTTAGGTATAGTTATTTGTGTTATTGTGGTGTCACACTCACAAAAGGGGACCACTAATTCATACATAAGGATTCCTATAGCCTGCACATTGATTTGGTTTTAAAGTATATTATCTATGTTTTATTGCATTTTTATGTATTTTGTTAAATATTTCCCAATTACATTCTAATCTATTCAAGCTGCGCTTGGAAGTGTTGTGGCCAGCTGGCCACGTTTGACACAACTGTTATCTTCTGTGAGATGAAGGATGTCAATTTGGGATATTACTTGCCATTGACCATATTCAAACTGAAAGTGTTAATGTGTCAGTTTCCTTTGGAAATAATTATCCCTAGTCAGAGCTACAATACATGCTTTGAAAGCAGCCTTCTAGAGATTATGTGAAGTATTAGGTTGTAAACATTTTGTATCTCTCAATACTTTTTTGACCATCATGAGGCTCAGCCTATTCCATTGTTGGATAGTTCCTGACTGAAGGAAAATACTGCACTAAAATTTATATCCTTATAACTTCTGCTCATATCCTCATAACTCCACTGCCCCAGGGGACAGTCCTAATTCTGTCCCCTGGTGCAAAACAAATTCAGTCTAATCCTAACTTCATTTATATACAACCTTTTAAATTTCTTGTACATTATCATCCTGGTACTCATACATAAAAGGGGAAGGGCATAAACATGTATTTAGGTGCCTGCTATGCCAGGCACTGTGCTAAGCATTTTGCAATTATCTCATTTGATTCTTACAACTGGCCTGGGAGGTAGGTGCCCATTTTACAGTTGAGGAAACTGAGGCAGACAGAGGTTAAGTGACTTGCTCAGTTTCCTAGCTAGTAAACGTCTGCGGCTGTACTGAAGTCGTGGCTTCTTGACTCCAGGTCCAGCACTCTACTACACCACTGTATATACAACAGCAGGACATGCCTGCAGTATAAGTCTGACTCAAATTTTAGTCAGTTTAAGCACAGAGATAAAAAATCATTACTCTTGGGCATTAAAGGCATAAACATTCTTATAAATATTGCTCACATCTAGATGTAACTCTATGGAAATTAGAATGGGGAGGGATGTAGGAAGAAAAGGCCTGAGGCTGAAGAAAATAGACCTATTTTTTAAGGCTTGGTAGAAGCTCAGTGTAATCATTCTAAAATTTAAGACTGTTCTAATCTGAGATCAGTCTTTCAAGTTTTTGAGTTGCTTTAGAATAAAAAAAATGTCTTTAGAATCTTGTTTCCTTTGGGAATATTTACAAATTATTAATAGTCCACTATTTTGCTCTTCCCAAAGGACAAACTTCAGTTTTTCTTATTTACAACCTCTCCCCTTTGGAATTTGGCAAAGACCCGTTGATTTCACTGTGGAACCCTGGAATCGATCCCATTTCTAAAGATAGGTTAGGTGAATAACTAGCAGTGGTAGAGGAATGCAGAACTGAGTATAAAGGCAGTGTAGTGGGAATAGCACTGGGTTCTGTTCCTACACAGGTTATTCATTCACCTACTACAGTCTTGGAGAAGTCATTTCCCTTCTTTTTCCTTCACTTTTTTCAGCCTCTGAAGTGAGGGAGTAAAACAAAATGATTTTGAAGATTCCTTCCAGACTAACATGTCACGAATTTGGGGATCTCTTTATTCCATAATTGAGTGTGAGGCAGCATCACATACTTGAACAAGCACTAGGATTTGGATCCGAGAACCCAGCTCAGTTACTACTTTGACTAATTTATCTCATATCTCTAGACCTCATTTTCTTCCTGTTTAAAGGGATTAGTACTAGATTTTGCTTCCATTTGTAAATCCTGTGATCCTAAATCCGCGGAAAGATTCCGTTAGCTACTCTAAAGGCACCTTAAAATAAAGTTCAGTGAACAGGAAAATGTTTTGGTCTGGAGTAGTCCACAGAACTTTGCTACCCAGTGATGCTGTAGGTAGTTTCTCTTTGTCACTACAAATTGGATTGGAGAATGGACATATCATTAGCAAGAGTCCAGGTCAGTTGTCAAGCCAAAATAAGGAAGGAAACATTCACTTACCAGATGCGTGCCAGAGAAGAACTGAGTGAAGTGCTGGTGTTTTCATTGCTTTGTGCCAGCACCTGGTCCTCTGGAGCAGCATTTTGTCATACAAGATAGCCCTGACTTGGTATAATAAGTAAGGTATCATGATGAACCTTTGATATCCTTTGATGAACAAACTACTGTTTACCTTCTAACAGCTTTAAGTGTGCCTTCTGCAGGGAGTGGTTCCTGCACCTCCCTCTGCCATTTTTCCCCCAAAAGTGTTGGGTAGTTTGTCTTTTGCAGGTGAAGGGTGGACCAGTTTCAGTCATGCCTGTTTCTTGGACACCAGCATCTGCAAATTGACAACATTTTGATTTGATTTCTCTGACAGTGCTACAGGTCTTTATGGAGATTTTGCACACCATTGCTTATATCAGGAGTTCTTAACCTTTTTGTATGTCATGGAACTCATTTTGCAGTCTGGTGAAGCCAATGGTCATCTTCTTTGAATCATGTTTTTAAATAATTGAAGAAAATGTTAACTTCAGTTAGAGGTTAGTGAAAATGAAAAAGTATTTTTCCCAGCCAAGTTCGTGAACTCCCAGTGGATCCCAGATTAAGAACCCCTTGTTTGCATCGTTTTATAAAGGATGAGAATTTTCTTAAGTGTTTATTAAGCACCTCCAACATACCAGGCATTGTACTAGTCTCTGGTTTAGTAAACCTAGTACTTGAATACTTCAAATGATATTCCTAGACAGTGACCAACGTTGAGACAAATTAACATAAACTAAGTCCTAAAGAATTAAGCTGTCTTTGAGTTCAAAGTCGTGTGGATTGGAGAGGACATGAGTTCAAATTCCAGCTTTAACACTTAGTAACTGTATGATCATGGTCACTTAAGTCACTTACCCTTTATGGGCCCTAGTTTTTTTAATCTATAAAATGAAGGGGCTGGACGAGGTGACCTCTGAAGTCCCTTCAGCCTGATATCTAAGACCCTATGGGTAATGGCCCTCCCTCCTGCTGGTCAGGATCCATAATTCCTCAAACCTACATGTGTGCACATATGCATACACACATGACAATCCAAGACTTACATATTTTATTTAGTGACTAGCTCTGACCAGGCAATGAAGGATGGACATTATAGTGGAATAAGAGTGAATAGATAAGTTTTTGAGTCCCTTCTCTGACAGATTAGCTATGTGACTCTTACCTCAGTTTACTAATTTGTAAAATAAAAATACTAATAGGTACATTGCTGGTTACAGGCTCATGAAGAAAATACTTTACAGACTTTTAGAAATCAATCAGGCACCTAGGTGGTCCAGTGGACAGAATAGTGGACCTGGAGTTGAGAAGACTCGAGATAGTCACCTCAGATACTTCCTGGGCAAGTCACTTTAACCTCTCATTGCCTCAGTTCCTTCAACTGTAAAATAAGGATTATAAAAGCAGCTACCCCAGGTAGTTGTGATGATCAAATGAGATGTTATTTGTAAAGAGTCTTTGTAAACCTTAAAGCAGTAGCTAGCTATTAATATTACTCAAATCATCCAATAAGTGTTTATGGAAAGAGATATTATTGAGATTTTCCCTTTTACTGTACATAGGCTAGAGTATTAAGAGGCCCTTAGAAAAAGTTAAGTTTTCTAAACCTTCAAACTAATAGGTAGGAAAACTTTTAGTGAATGTTGAAAGGGAACCAAATGACATACAAAGGAACCAAATATGCCATCAGCAGGAATTAAAAACTATTTCCTCTCGTGTCTCACTGTGCCACGAAAAAAAAAAAAAAGGTTGTAACCCTACAAGATGAAAAGGCTATTTCTTGCTCTAGTTCTGTGCTCTAGAA